GCCACAAAATATATAACAGAACCAAAGTGTCTGTCAGAACAGAGCCCAACATGGAGCGACCATTAAATGACCCTCGCTAAATCAGATGCTACGGCTAAACTTTGGGCATCTTCTTTTTTTAAATGATCCAAAGCTGAGAGGTTTTCAGGTTTGTAAACAGAAATTAATATAATTGACTTACTAGACGACCACGAACACATAAATCAGACTGAAAACAAGGACCACCGAGGTTTAGAGCAGTTAGACGTTAGCTCGCTAGTTAGCGCGCTAGTTAGCTCGCTAGTTAGCGTGCTAGTTAGCGCGCTAGTTTCCGTCTAAAGATGATAAACTGTGTTCTGATTGAAGTAATTCTAAAAAACTAAACTGCACGGCATCATCACAAGTGTGGGAATAAGTGAATACTAAACAGCAGCAGTGTTTGGAGCTGTAGCTAATCTAATTTAATATTAAAATAAAGACATTAGCATAGGGAAGATGGAGGATGAGAGTTAAATGTGTGAGGGGCAAACTTCAGCCTAGAGAACATCTGAGACGATTACTCAGTAAAAACACCCGGCGCTGAGCTTGACGTCCACACTGAAGTCTTATTTGGACCAAGAGTGACTCTTTAATGAAGGGTTAAAATATCTGGAGTGGCGGCGCCCCCGGGCTGCAGTTTCACTGTGAGGTTTTAAGCAGTTAAAGATGTGCTGCACATGAATAACGCCAATAAAAAGGCAGAGGACAGCGAGGACTATCGTTTTTGGAGGCTTGTTTCATTTCTCAAAAATAAGAGCCAGAACTGCAGCACATTAAAAAGACGAGAGCATAGCAGGAAACCCTCGGACTAGAAAGTCAGTCGATACATCATAAGAAAACAAGAGAAATCCAACAAATAATAACCAACCTCAGTTTTTAAATGGCTAAGACTGAATATCGAGATTAACACAAATAAGGGGCGAGCAGAGCTCAGATCAAAGACACGACGAACAACTGGAAAGATTTTATTTCATGATTCAGGAAGATTATTTGCACTGAACTTCAGACATTCCTTTAAACGATGCGAGAACAGGAACAATTGTCCAGACTGAACTATTCTCCAGTAGTTACTGTTGTGATGTGCTCAGGAAATAACTTTGAAGACTAGAACTGATATCAGCATCTTAACGACCCAACGGTCAGAAAAACAAAGAAAGTGGAGGCTCTGTTGATTTAAATCGATATGTCAGAAGCTCCACCGCCTGCGTTCTTCCCGCTCGCTGTATTTGTGAGCGATTAAACCGGCTGCCCTTTGTTTTGAAAATGCGCGTTGGGCGTTGAAAATCAAGATTCAATCTTCTGTTCCAGTTTGTGTTGTTGCTGTTCGTCTGTGTGGGTGTTGGTCCTGATGCGGGAGGTCCACTTTAATAACTGATCGATGGATGTGACGGTGAATCGGACTCCAACATATCCCTGAGGTTTACAGAGCTCGTCAAAGGTCATCACAGCTGCAGCTTTTTTATTTGATTTATTCAGCATGCACTGAATTTAACCACACATATAGATCCTTTCAATGTCAACAATATGTAGAGACCTGAGCTGTTAGAAAAGCTTTAAATAGAAACTGTATAATATGAAGTATTTCAGGTGTTTCTCTGCACAAACTTAGAACTCATCATATTTCAAACTCTGCCTTTTATAATGTGAATAAGTGCCTCACTTATACTTTAAATTACGCTCCAGCAGTCGGCCTTGCTGCCGCGTTGTCATGCCTTCCGAGTTCACTGTCATTATGATTTTAATTGACTGAACATCAAACGCTGAGAGCTCGTCCTCGGCTTTTCCTCTGAACTCTGCGCGACGTCATCAGTCACATTGATTTCAGAGAACGAGCCAGTTAATCAGCCGCAGATCAATTTTAATTAC